TGATGAGAATTATCGAAAACAAACGCATGTTTGCCAATTCATCTTCTGAATTCTTCAATGGGAATTTTCGCAAATTTAAGACTAATAAAACTGAAAAATACAATCCCAGTTCTCAATTACCGGTGAACCACCATGCTAGAGGACATCATTGACGGCCCGACGAGCTTGATTTGTTTGCATGTAACCGACACCCCCAACCACTCCTCAAAAGGGACACTTGTATCAGGAAAATCGACTAATCCAGTTCCTAAGGTTGACACTGTCATAGCGTTCCAATAGGAAAGACCGTTTCCTAGAGCCAGTAGTAGGCTGACATGGGCTCGGAAAGACATGAGCAAGTGGCACAATCAGTCACTAGATAAGACGTTCGATTAGATGAGCAATAGGTAAAAATACAGGTTTTCCCGGTGGAAGGGGAGGCTCTACTACGGTTGGCTAACGATTGCACGCAGACAGTCTCCCTGGTTGTTCTAGGCTACCCCATCGCAAAGTATTGATCGACTGACTGATGGTCTACGTCAGCTGTAAACTGAGACTCGAAAGTAAACAGGCCAGCTGCAGGAATCAGAAGATGCGATCGTTCAGACAAGAATTTTGCTGGCCTGGCGTTTCCGATTCTCATTCGAACGCATCACCAGAGACAATCGCAGACATGGGTGATGGGGGCACAGAGTGCGCAGTATTTATAGTCCGGCTTTCGGGTGGGGGATTTACGACGACACCCAGACTAACTTAATGTCCTTCAGGTGTTTCAAGGCAATCACGCCACTAAAATATTGGTCTATTTTTTCTATTTAGTCGCCTGCGTGGACTGTACAGCGAGGTTCAAACGCCGACAAGACATCGTAGTTACTTCATCTTGTAATGGGAGGGGATTGTTCCTGGGCATCCTACAGAATTTTAAATTACAAGATGTAATGAGACTAAAGATCACTAGATGAAAATCGAATAGCTAAATCAGCGACTTCGACAACGAGAGGGAGGGAGACCAAGGAATCTTTACTGAGCCTACGCAACTTACATCGTCAGGCGATAGGAAACCCCAGCCGTTTTGTTCGAGGAAATCCTCCGGATTGTCCACAATCGTCTTCATCAATTTCGGCCAGTTCAATGACTTGGCGCCTTCGGAGTAGAAGATATCGCATGACCTAAAGAACAAAAGAGGGCGATGACAACCGTTTGAGATAAGCTAAAATGGAGGACATAGTGACCACAAGGATTATCAAGATCTAACAAACAAATCCAAATAACAGCAGTCAGTATTCATTCAGTGCACAGCTTGTATAATCCCGTTAGAAATAGAGTCATTATCATCCACCACAGAACTTCCAACCTTCAGGTATGTGGGCATCACGACATGGCAATATAGATTCACTGAAGGATTAAGACCCGTTGAAAAAACACACGATGCATGACAGGCATCGATAAACATTTACTGAACTCACTTGTCCCACTCTGCCTTGGCTCTCATTTCTTGGACCCTAACAACAGCCTTCATAGTTAGTAGTCCAGACAGAGCGGAACGATTGAGTTCCTTTAACGGTCAGTGAACTTGCACCAGCGACTATCAATATCTCCCGACCTAAACCGGCAAGACGAAGAGCTCGTGGCCCATTGGTTAGACTCTGAGCGGAATGGTAGCGAGTTTGAGCTCCGGGGTTGCACAACTTGGGTTGGTTACGACTGGCTGAAAACGGCTAATAAGCCAGAAATGGCTATTCCAGTCTCGCTTATCTTTGCCGGCAATACTACCTGCCTATAAATGCATTACCTTAATAGTGGAACTGGTGGCAAAACAAAATATGCTGATTTCCGTTTCAAAATGGGGATTTGCGTTTAATTAGGAGTGTTAAATCTGCCAGCTCTTACGTGAGTAGTATCTATCAAATAATCTGGCAAATGAAAATACTTAGGAAGATGAAAGTTTGCTTTGCAGTCTCAGGTGTTCCCGATTCGGTTTTGGGTTTTAAGTGTCAAAAATAGCCACATCCCCTCTCCCTTGTGCTTATCGATTAGAGACTGCTTACGAGAACTACGGAACCACAACCCAAAAACAAAACTAAAACGGTAGTATCCTATTTTACCCAACCACATGGCTCCGCTAAAAGGTGCTGTCATCCTCGGTCAAGGTACTTTTGACTGCGACAGAAGAAACTAGAAATGTGAGCCTTCAATGTTAATAAGAAAGGAGGGAGTGTGGGTGAGGGGGAGGGAAGGGAGTCGAAACTTACATTACCCACTCCTTTACATGGTCCAGCGCTGAGCTCGGTATGGAATTGACCATGGCAGGTTTGGCGCGGTAGTCCTTGAAGACGAAGACCATATCGAAGGTGCGGATGGATAGACTGACACGCTCAAAATGGACCAACTCCACTTCATCCAGGATAATGACGAAGGGTGGCCATTCGACAAGGCTGACGAGGCAACTACTCGTTGGCATGAGTAGCACAGTGGATCTACACAAAGGAAGACAACTAAACA